CACTCGCAGGCAGCCGTCAGAATCGGCTTCACTGGCGATATTCACACTCGCAGGCAGCCGTCAGAATCGGCTTCACTGGCGATATTCACACTCGCAGGCAGCCGTCAGAATCGGCTTCACTGGCGATATTCACACTCGCAGGCAGCCGTCAGAATCGGCTTCACTGGCGAGGATGTTCACACTCGCAGGCAGCCGTCAGAATCGGCTTCACTGGCGAGGATGTTCACACTCGCGGGCAGCCGTCAGAATCGGCTTCACTGGCGAGGATGTTCACACTCGTGGGCAGCTGTCAGAATCGGCTTCACTGGGTGAGGATGTTCACACTCGCGGGCAGCCATCAGAATCAGCTTCACTGGCAGCATGGCAGTGACAGCCGCTGAGCAGGCAAAGCTTGGGCTTCTTTGTTTAACTAATCGGGTTTTGCACTGACAGATATGGCCAGATATGGCCAAAGAAGCTGAACCTTGGTCTGTCCACCAGAGTGCAGGAGCTGTGAGTTTGTACAGCAGCTCCTTATCTGGATATGAAAGGAGTGTGACATGTGAGGTTTGTGACCTTTTGCAGAGTTCCTGTGGAATCCGGTGAAGCAGGCTACGTCAGGTGCAGAGTTACGCTCGACTGCCGCTTGGCGCTGGTGTAAACCTGCTGGACAGCACACCATGAATTCCTTTATGGCTGACAAGGAGCCAGAAAGCACACAGTTTGGGCGCTTCGGGTGGGCGTGGAATTTTTGAGCGACTGCGTTGATTTTATTTAGCTTTTTAATCTACTTTTTTCTGGCTGTTCCGGAGGGAGTTTGACCCAAATAATCTGAGTCTCCTGTTTAATCGGTTCTGTGTGAAATCCATCAACGTTTCAGTCCCAGACTCTGAGAGGTAGTTTTCCTGAGGGCACATTCCATGTATTAACCCCAGAGAGCAAATTACTTGCGTTGTCAAAGGCTGCTGAGGTGACTGACGAACTTGGAGACTGGGCTCAGCTCCTGCCTCTGGCTCTCTCTCTCTTTCTGTTTGTGTGTGTGTGTGTGTGTGTGTGTCCATGCATGCAGTTTACATGTTCCTCCATGTTTGTGTGGGCTTCCTCCGCTGTGTGGCTGTGTGTGTGATTACATTCGATTTGATTCAGTATTGGTTGTGACGCCTAGAAGTTATTTATATAAAGTTATCTCAAATCAAATCAAATTTATTTATAAAGCACATTTAAAAACAACAATGTTGACCAAAGTGCTTTACATTTAAAATTCAGTCATGGAACACCAAATTTAAAACACATAAAAATAATAATAATAAACTACAATAAATATGGACCACCAGAAAGTACAGCCTCACTGCTAATTAAAAGCCAGGGAATAAAGGTGAGTTTTGAGACAAGATTTAAAAACGGAGAGGCTAGGAGCCAGTCTGATGTGACGAGGCAGTTCGTTCCACAACCTGGGTGGAAGTACTGAGAACATTCTGTCACCCCTATTCTTAAGCCGTGCCCTTGGAGTACGTAGAAGGGACTGGCCTGCAGACCTCAAAGATCTCGATGGAGAATAAGATTCTAAAAGATCAGCAATATACGACGGAGGCAGCCCATGTAGGGCCTTAAAAACAAACAGTAAAATCTTAAACTCAATTCTCCTCTGAACAGGGAGCCAATGCAAAGTGGCAGGAACAGGAGAGATATGATCTCGTTTACGAGAGTCTGTAAGGAGACCAGCAGCAGCATTTTGGACAAGTTGTAATCATGACAATGAAGCCTGACTGATGCCGGCATAAAGAGTATTACAATAGTCAAGGCGCGTTGTAATAAAAGCATGAACAACCGTCCCAAAGACATTAAAAGATACAAGTGGCTTAATTTTTGAGAGGAGCCTTAATTGAAAGAAACCAGCCTTTACAATTGCATTGACCTGGCCATCAAGTTTATGGTAATTATCTAATTTGAAGCCAAGATTCGTCACAGTTGCCTTAACAAATGATTCCAAGATGCCTAGGTCCAAATCACAAGCGTCAGGAACACCACTGGGACCAAATATAACGACCTCGGTTTTCTCCTCATTTAAGTTTAGTAACTCACCCTATAGTACCCATTGTCTAAAGCTTTGTGTTCCCATCACCTTTCTTGGCACTGATTTATCCATTGACAGAACTTGTGGCAACACCACCGGCTTATGTGACTATAGTTAATTTCTTGGCAAATTTAATTTTGTTTGTTTTATATGTAGCATAATGTTAAGTGGAAGTATTTCTAGTAATTGTGATATGATTTTGTGCAGCCCTACCTTCAGTGGAACCACTCCCAACATGGTTTTCGTGTGTGCCTGCCATATCTCATTGTGACTATTGTGGTTAAAGGAGCAGTTCACCCCAACACTGAAAAAGATATGTTTTAGAGGGCCGTTAGTGCTATCTATCCATCTAGGCTGTTCTGCTAGTTTTGAAGGTCTTCCTGTGGTGATTAAAGCACCAAAAAAATCCATTTGAAAAATTCAACAGCAATGTCTCTTACATGAAATCATGATCTGGTTACTCCAAATAATCCCACAGACTTTGTACTGAACGGTTTCATGTAGGAACTATTTTCTTCTACCGAACTCCACACACCAGTTGTATCACGTGCAGAAGATATGAGCATGACCAGCCTGGAGTTATCTTCTGTGCAGTGATATGATTGGTGTGTGGAGTTCGGTGAAAGACAATAGGCAACTCCCAGCAGAACAATCTTTCAAAGCTTCACACAACCACAAGAAAAGGCCATAGACTGTAAAAGGCATACATTAAAAATTTGATCTCAGGATTTTATTTATCGATATTGGATTATGCAAGTGAATGGATGGATGGATGGATGGATGGAAGTCTGACTGATGGTAGTCTCTCTGTCGTGCCTCCCAGGGCCAAGTCGGTCTGCTCCATGAGTGAGTTCCAGCGGCTGATGGACAGCTCTCCGTTTCTCCCCGACCGGAGCACGCGCGGCGATGCCGGCACCGATGACGTGACGCCACCGCTCTCCCCGGATGACCTCAAGTACATTGAGGAGTACAACAGCAAGGGCTGGGATTCCCCCAGCCATGGGGGGGCCACCAGTGGCACCCCTGCCCCCGAGCACATACCTGACACATTCCAGCCGTCCTCGTGGTTCCTGACCACCAGCGCCACCTTGACCACCAGCACACTCAGCGGCCCCGAGCACTGCCAGCGTCAGCCCCCACGGGGGGCCCCGGGGCCCGAGCGCTACGGGGTCCGTGTCCTCCACAGCCCCCCCCTGAGCTGTAAGCTTGACGGCTCTGTGGCTCCCCCTGTTGGGGAGCGGCCCTGCGCTGGCCCAGAGGATGTGTATGGCCGCTGGCAGCACCGGGAGCTCCTGGAGGGCGGGCTCCGCCCCTCCGAGCGGCCTGTCTGCTCCACCGTGGGCTTCGCCTCCTCGTTGGAACTGGAGCTCTCCCGGAATCTGAGTGACGACATGAAGGAGGTGGCCTTCTCAGTGCGTAATGCCATGCTTTCCAGCCCAGTGGAGCGCCATCTGAAAGACACTGCCTGTCAGACCAACGGCTTCACCACCAGGGGGACCCAGACCACCCAGACCATCAGCGTGGGCCTCCAGACAGAGGCCCTGAGGAACCTTACCAGCAGTCCCCACCGGTGCCTGACCCCCAAGGGTGGATCCACCCCCATCTCCTCACCTTCCCGCAGCCTGAGGAAGGTGCAGTACTCCCCTGCCGTACAGAGCAAGTTTGAGCGCCCCTGCTGCTCCCCCAAGTATGGATCCCCGAAGCTGCAGCGCAAGCCACTGTCCTGCAAGGCCGAGCAGCCTGCCAGCCGGGTAGCCACCCCCAGCGCACCGCAGAAGGGCTGCAGCGAGTCGGCCTGGGCTCGCTCCACCACCACCCGGGACAGCCCGGTGCACACCACCATCAATGATGGCCTCTCCAGCCTCTTCAGCATCATCGACCACACCCCCGTCGTGAACGACACCACGCCGAAGTTCACCAAGTCACCGAGCCGCTCCCGACCTGCCGACCCTGGGTCCGCTGAGTCCCGGTCCCCGGGCCTAGGCGTGCTCCAGGACCTTTTGAAGTGCACCCGGGGCCGCTCGCCCAGTCCCGTGCAGCTGATCGTGGAGGCCCAGGATGACAGGACCCCAGAAGTGATCAGTATAAGGCAAGACCTGTCCGCTCCCCCGGGTTATGGCCTGGCTGAGAACGCAGCCCGGCTTCTGAACAAGAAGCTGATGGAGCAAGCCTTAAAGGAGGACAAGAGGCCTGCGGCCGGCAGTCAGACGGGTCTCAGCAGGGATGGGGACAAGGGCCCACTGGGCCCCGTTGAGGTAAAGACCATGCCAAACGTGCATCTGTTACACATCCTGCTTCAGAAGATCAGCTCTTACCTTACTAAGTAGATGAAGTAGGATTCCTAACATTGATGTTGCTTAGCCCTAATCGAATCCTTTGAAATAGCAGCTGAAACAGGGTAGAATGATAGATTGCTTTTGTTTTTGTAACGTTTCTGGATCAGTAGCTGAGAGCAACTGCCACAGGGCATTTCCTATTATCAGTACATGCAAGGCATGTTATTCACAACGAGGCTTGCGTCTTGTGTCTGGAAGTGCGCTAGTTATGGTTTGTTGCAGGCACATGGAGATCTGCACTCTGCTTCTGAGAAGGCTAAAGGTTAACAAATCAAACTGCAATATTCAAGTGTGACCCCAAGTGACCTCCCCGACTGGTAGCCTCATGTCCTGTCTGGACGGGCTTTTCCTAGTGCTATGGTGTAGTGAACGTGCTAATGCTTCGTGGCCTGTTGCTTTGTGTCCTTGTAGCGGGGTCATTTGTGACCCCATGGCTCACTTGTCACCATAGCTGTACCACAAGAAGTCTCGCTGTGAGGGCAGAGCCCATTCTGAAGCCCCGCATAAGAGTGTCACACATGTGCTACGGGTGCGTGATACCCGGGTACCCAGTTGGTCAGCTGCCATATTCACTTATCTTATAGCTTCCAAAGCATATTTGTCCATTACTGACAGTATATAGAAGAAATCATTTGTTATAGTAGGTGCATAGAAAAATGATGCTTAAAATAATTCTTACTATAGCCCAGGTAGAATATGGTGAAAATGGACAGGGCCCATTGTATGGTCTTTTTGTACTGGGTGGGTCTTTCCAGTGTCTAGCTAAGAAGTTGGTTTTTGTGCTTCTCACAAACTCGGCCTCTGTTCCGGCTGGGGGGGGGGTCGAGCTCGGCCCCCGCTCTTCATCTGACCTACGTTCCTTCTTGATGATAAGCCTCTTTAACAGTGTCTGCTCTCTCTCTGTCTTCTTCTGGCTGTTTGGGCCTCCCTTCCCTCTGGGTTCTGATCCAGAACCACACTGTCTTATTAAGCACGCCGTGGGGACTGTAACACTGATTGTGTCCACACTGTAAGTTCCTCACCTCGGCCGTCCGTCCATCTGTCACGGGCAACCCTGCGCACACATCACACCCAACACGCATGCTGTGTTGTAGTGCGTAGGCAGATGTGAGAAGAGGTTCCAGCTGTGGTCATAACCGTGAATTGAAGTTTTTGCATGGTCATTTGTCTGTATGTTCTCTCAAACACTCAAAATAGCCTGTACCCAACACCCCAGGGGTGGTCTTAGCTGTGGGGGTTACCCAGGTGACTGCAAGCACCCATAGTTGAAAGGCTAGTTATTTTGTCTAGTTAGGTACGGTGGTTGTTCTTGCGGGTTACCTGGGTCTCCTTAATCTCTAAGACCACGCCTGTCAACAGTGTACAAGGAAACTGGTGACCCAAAGAGTCATTGACATGTTAGTCACCTTGTGAGTGACCTTGCTCTGTGAGGTCACTTCCTGGTTCTTTGAGTAGCCACACAAAGGACCTTCTAGATATGAACTCAGCCACTGAAAATGTTTTTATGTCACAGCCCACCCTTCTTCGTGCTTGTGTGAATCATTTTCTGTCAGTTTTGTCCTGGATGCAGCCCTGACACTACCTAGTGCCCGAGAGGGCAGACTAACAGCTGGGTCTGAGAAGTGCAGCGCAAACGCCAGCCTACCTAGTGCCCGAGAGGGCGGACTAACAGCTGGGTCTGAGCAGTGCAGCGCAAACGCCAGCCTCTCCCAGACGCTCAGGATGACTCTTTTAGTCACGGCTCCAGGCTTCCTGACCTCCATGGCCACACCCCCCCACCCCCGTGAGCTAGAGTCACTTGCAAGAGTCCCTTTATGTTCTTTGCCAAAATCCAGAGGAAACTTAGCTCCGGATCAAACATCCAGAAGTTCATTTCTCCCCAGTATTTCTGTAAAACGTCCTCTTTTCTTTCTGTATGTGGATTTTCTGACCCCTGACAGCCCGCTCCTACCCCCTGGCTCAGTATCGCCTCTTTCTGACTGGGGGCCAGCATTGACTCCTTTCTCCTTTGTCCTGTTGTGGCAGCTTGTTCTTGTTTTTTGGTCTGCTCGCGTTGGGAGGGACCGGAATGCCGGATGTCCCTCACTTTGCGGCATGCCAAAGGTGCCATAGCGATGGTGCCCCCCCCACCACCATTCTGTTCCACCAGAAAAAAAAAAACAAAAGTCTGTCACTGCAACTGTATGGGAATACTGAGGGACAAGGAACGTTTGTCTTTTCACAAACTTCGGGGTTTGTGTGTTGAACATATTTGTACTGCTTGTTTTGTGTAACTTAACCCTGTTAGAGTCACATTTCTCTGTATTTCCATGGTAGTGAGATGTACCCAGTGCATGTGGTTCATAAAAAAAATGTCCTCACTCACTAACCAGAGAGAGTTCTGTATGTAGCTGCTGCAGCTGATTGTTCTGCATGTACAGTAAGCGTGTCATTGCGGGTCTGTTCTGACCCGGGTTCTGCTGAGACATCGCCTTTCACTGTGGACCTTCACTCCCATCTCCACCATCTCCTCACTCTCTCTTCCACTGCGGCGCACCGTGCTCAGCGTGGTGTCTGTGCTCGTCGGCATTTACCCAGAAGGCCCCACGTCACATGCGTCCGTCGCGTGGAGGACGTGTCACTGCAGCCAGCCGAGCAGCACGGCCACTGACCGATGAGCCCAAACAGACTCCCGAGAGGAAATTCTGCTAAATTAAATCCTCCGGCTCGCTGATTGGTGCTTTACTTTATTTTCAGCTCAGCATTCTCCTTCTCTAAAGAATAGTTTTACTATCCCTTATAGGATGCGTCTCTAATTTAAATTATTATAAATACCATTTGAGTAACTCAAAAGCAGGATTCATTTCTTTCATTTGCATGTCTGCTTTTCGTGTACTTCTTGTATATTTCTTTGTATCTGAACCCTAACTACAACACCTAAAATAAGTCATATAAATTAAGATTGTAATATGAGAGCTGAGGTTCTATAAATGGCCGTAGCACTAAAGATGTAAGCTAGAGGGCGCTGGCTGCACCCGGGGCTGGGTCTCGATTTAATTTAACCTAATTCAGTCAGTCATCTGTTAGGCAGGATGAGCGGCCCATGATCTAACTCTCCTTCAGCAGGGTGTAGAGAGGCCATCCCAGACTGCTGGCGTGTTCCCTGCCTTGAGTCTTTCAGAGTCTGTACCGCCCCCTCAGTGCAGACGCTGGCCGCCATATTGGTGCCCGGGACACTGCTCAGGCTGATATATGGTTGCCGTTCACTAACGTTAAGTCTCATCTTTGGAAACAGTTGCCGTGTTCTCCAGTTGCCCCGCCCCTGGACTCCCACTTTTTGAGACCCGCGCGACCAGCCAATCGGCGTCCCCCATCACGATGGGCGGCCCGCTCCCCTTCCACGTCCCCTCGGCGGCCCAGGACGGCAGAAAGGAGGTTCTGTTTCCTGCTGCCAGAAAGTGAGGAGGCCGCTCAAGAGCTAAATGGCACCTGAGCCCTGGGTTAGTGCTTGTCCCTGTCTTCGTCTGTGCCTCAGGCCTGTGTCTCTGAGGACACCGAGGACATCAGCCTGACGAATGCTCTGGAAGAAAAGAAGAGCCGCAGTGTCGTCTAGGGACTCCCAGAGCGGGCTGGACCCGGGCTGGACACATCCATGTATGGTGCCTGTGCGAACCAAGGAACCAAGTTCTTGATCGTAAATACATACACCCACACATATATAGACACACATTACATATATAATACACCCACACGTATATAGACACACATTACATATATAATACAGACACACATATTTATATATTCGTCTCCATCCTATTTTTTTATGGGTTGATGGGGACATTTTTTCTGGGTACAAAGAGCGACTACAGAATAGGATTTATCTGCCTCACCGTCAGCATCTACGTCAGGGTGTGTCACTCCCTCCAGCCTTTTAAAGTTGTATTTATTGATTTATTCTGCCATGTGTAGGATTTCTCTCTTATTTTGCACACTGTAAATATTTTGAGAAGACTAGTCTAACATTAAAATGTCAGAGAATGTGTATCTACCCACCGAAACTTGAATTAAACTGAACAAAAATAATTTATGGGAATCATGGCAGTTAGGGGATTAGAGAGAATATGAAGAACCTGTCCTGTATGGAATGCAGAACATGGGGCCTGAGGTTGTCAAAGACAGTCGGAGGTTTTGAATGTACAATTTAGTCCTGTGGAGGATGTGTTACTGTGGAGAGGGAGGATGACACAGGAGGACAGGAAGTACGTTGCTGCTTTACACGGGAGACCATTGTGTGCCTCCGTGTTCGACTCGGCCTGCATGCCACTGGGATATTAGCCACTTAGTGCATGTGAGTAGAAGCCTCGTAATTCAGCGTCACTCGTAAGAACGTCTGGGTCCCAGTCTGAGTCCCAGTCTGCGTCCCAGCCTCCGGCTGTATTTTACTGTTTCTGATCTGCACTCACTTTTCTTTTTTAAAGTGAACCATCTTACCTGTCAAACTGTACAGGTGTTTTTGTTTTTTCAAGAGGAAAAATGAAATTGTAAAATATGAATGATGTCACTAAACAGTCAATGTAAGGTCTGGAAATAACTGTAAGATCAGCCAATTAAAATATTTATTTACTAATTGCAGTCTTTTGCTTGAATTGTTTGTTTTAATTTGTGGTTGCGTGCGACTCAGTGGGTAGCCCTGTTTACCCCTTGCACCTACAGCTTTGGGGGTTCGAATGCCACCACAACTCTGTGTGCATGTATGGAGTTTGAATCCTCTCTGCTTCCCCCTCTGGGTGATCCTGTTTTCTCCTATAATCTCCGCAGATGCAGTTAGGTGAATCCATCTCTCTAACTTGTCCATAGTATGTGAATGTGCTTGTGCTATGGTAGACTGGCATCCCGTCCAGGGTGTCCCCTGCCTTATGTCCTCTGATGGACTGGCATCCTGTCCAGGGTGTCCCCTGCCTTATGTCCTCTGATGGACTGGTATCCTGTCTAGGGTGTCCCCTGCCCTGTGCCCTGTGATGGACTGGCATCCCGTCCAGAGTATCCCCTGTCGTGTGCCCTGTGATGGACTGGCATCCTGCCCAGGGTGTCCCCTGTCCTNCCTGTGCCCTGTGATGGACTGGCATCCCGTCCAGAGTATCCCCTGTCGTGTGCCCTGTGATGGACTGGCATCCTGCCCAGGGTGTCCCCTGTCCTGTGCCCTGTGATGGACCGGCATCCTGTCCAGGGTGTCTCCTGCCTCATACCCTATACCAGGGATATCCAATCTTATCCGCAAAGGGCCGGTGTGTATGCGGGTTTTCGCTGCAACTCCCTGATTAGATTAGTAATTAGAGGACTGATTGGCTGAAAGAGTCCTCACACTTGGGTTTGAACAGCTGACCTACAGGTTATCCCAAAAACCTGCACACACACCGGCCCTTTAAGATAAGATTGAGTACCCCTGCCTTATTCTGTCTGCCATAGCCCCCAGAACACATTGCTCCTGTGTACTGGATAAGTGGTTGTAGGATGGATGGATGTTTGTGTTTTTAAAGAAAAATGAGCTTTGTCTCATGTAGTTACATGCTGGATGTTTGAGTCCTGTGCCCTGTGCCCTGGATAAAGCTAAACAGCCAGAGGCTTTTCTCTTCCCTGAAAAAGGCAGATGCACAGTTAGCTATTTAAAGAGTCGCATTTCTATTTAGCTTCACCGTGGCCTAATAACATCAACACCTGCAGGCCAGCATTCACTCTGATCACGCTTCTGTAAAACAGCAGCTTGCTTATATTGTGTTTAGGGGTGTGTGTGTGTGTGTGTGTGTGTGTGTGTGCGTGTGTGTCTGTGTGTGTGCGTGCGTGTGTGTGTGCGTGCGTGTGTGTGTGTGT